AAAAAAAAAAAAGGGAAAAAGTATTAATAACGATAATAATATATACATTTTAAAAAAATAAATTGAAATGGAAGGACAACTGTTTTTTGCAACAATGGTTGTTACCGTTCAATTTACCTCAACCTGATTCTGCAATGAATGGACATAACTGATAATCTCATCTAACATTGTCACCAAACCCATTGTCTGTGTGAAATCAAAGAACACAAATAAGCACTAAAAAATAAGAAATCACAAATTTAAAAGAAAGAATTGTAAATAAAGCTCTACCTTTTGGCATCCAGGAACTATGTCTTGCAGGCGTATCAGTTTGTTGTTGATTCTCTCTCTTCTCACCTGTAAGTTTTCTCCTTTAGAAATGGAGTTTAGATGCAAAGGCATTGCTAATAATATAATTTTGTTGATTATGAAAAAACCATAACTATAAAAAAATAATAATTAATAAAATAAAATATAGATGTACCCTTTCAGCTAAGCTGTGACTATCAGTAGCTTGGCCTCTTTTTGCTCTAACATGAATCACTTCCTCTGGTTTGTCCTGTTTTCTCTTATTTCTCCTTTTCTTTTCCTTTGCTAAACCCTGAAAAACATCATGAAAGTATTAGTAAGTTAAGCTTTTTAAGTCAAAATGAAAAGAATGCGAAGAAGAAGAAGAAGAAGAAGAAGCGCACATTCGTTTTCTTGTTCTTATTATCTTTGTTCAGCGGATTCGCAGATGCCGCGGAGCAAACAGCTTCTGTGCTGCTTTCTTTTGTTGTCTTTACGCTTCTCTTGTTGCTTTCATGGGAACTATGATCTCTCGTCAAGTTGATTGCATGAACTTGATATTCCTTCGTATGGATAGAATTTGAAGTGCCAAGAATATTTTGTGACAACTCTAATGGATACTCAGGCAGTTGGTAATGGAAGCCTAAGAAATTTTCTGCTGAAAAGTCAGTATTAATGTTAAAGTTCTCCAACATGCCCGGACTAAGCTCTCCGAATCCGTTCATCGTTTCGATGTCTTCGTTCCTCGAAGGTTTCGAGAGCTTCAAGTTTTCATTGAATGTAGACTCAGCAGCCATGATTTTGTTTTCAGGTTTAGGATCCTAAGAGAGAATAACAATGGCTTATATATAGACATGAATTTTGTACTATTGTTCTATGTGGTTGTCTCTGTAGTTCTGTTTTCCTTTACAATTAAGCAAAAGAAATCAAGGGGGATTAAATAAAAACACCAAAAAAAAAAAAAAAAAAAGAAGCTTCAAGTGTCTGTTTCATTATCTGAAGTTGAAATCCTTTGTAGGGTCCAAGGTAGAGATACACCACGTCTATGCAAAAATACCATCCAATGCAAATATTGTAGTTAGATTAATAAATTGGTTTATAGATAAAAAGCATGTATACAAATATATATTTCTCCTGTCTTTTGAAAAGTAAAGATGGAAGATAATAAAGTACTTTCATGCCTATTCTTCTTATCTTATTTTTTTTCCGTTTCTCTTTTTTAGTAAGATATATGTAGTGAAAACGTGGAACACATGATCTAGGAAGCATATTGGTCGTTTGAAAGAGAAGTTACATTCTAATTGATAACAAAGGAAAAAAAAAGTGCAGAGAAATCTTTGGTGTTGGATCCTAGCTTTTAAAATCCAAAAATGGCTGAAATGAGTGTTAGCCGAAATTGGATAGGGAAATGAAAAACCGAAATTATACAATGCAAATTAATTCAATCTTCCTACCAAACTTGAAAACAAAATTGGAAAAAGTCGAGGCACGTGGACCACGTTTTTCTTAAAACAGATTCGTCTCCTCCGGCGTGTGCTTGAGGTTACGTTGGACGTCCGTCTCCCAGGATACAACGACAATAACGGTAGCTTGATGCACTTTCGGAACTATCCGGCGAACTAGAACTTGATCTCTCCTCTATCACCAAAACAGAACAAAACAAGACAAAGAAAAACACACAACTTTGGAAGCAAGAGAGAAACGGAGAGAGAGAAAAAGATTTCTGGAAAAGTGTGTTTTGTTCATGTGGAGTTTGGCCTTTATATAGGCTCTAAAATCTAGGTGTTACACCAAGACATTATGGTGTAATAACCCAGATTTATTCCAGCCATTACTCTGCAAAATAATGGAGCAAAACGTTTTGATTTTCCATGATGAATCCAGCCACAAAGCATATCCAAGTTTAAGAAAAAATTGATGCAATAACCAGCTTTTATCATCACAATTAAGCTTGGTTTTAAGCACAACATTAAGCCCCTTTTAATCACCATTATGCTCGTTTACCCACCATTATGCTAAGGCTAAACGGCTGGAAGAGTTAGCTGAAGCAAAAATAAAAATTGCAAAAGTAAGCTTGTACAGAGCGAATTTTCTGATCCGGCATTCGTGTCCGCAAGTCGCGAGCGCACACATTAGGCCCTAAACCCGTCGGGATCGTGATTCGCACCCCCTTGCGCGTGAGAGAGCCTCTCTGGTATACATGCTTACCAAGGCTTCAAAGTGCAATCACTTATAAACACCACATTGACTTCACTCCTAGCCAATGTGAGACTTTTACAATTTCCTTCTACATTTACTATTCCAAGTAACATACTTAGACCATCAATTTCTCATTCACCCAAAAACCATTTTGAGTGTATGAATACTCGATTTCAATTTCCTCGCGACAGAGAACGCAAATCTATCGAGACCCATCCCAAAAACCTATTGGGCCCATCCGAATATGGGCCTCAAAATGGGCATTTAAAATGACTTAACAAGCCATTTTTCTAACAATGAGGATTTTACGGAGATGAGCATGTTTGTATATAGTCATGTATGCCGAAACACTGGACCATGTTTTATGCAAGCTGAAGATATTACTAGTTTGAAGAATTTACAAGAGTTTGACACTCATTTTAGGTTTAATTTTTTTTTTCTTAGTACGTTTTGGATCCCTCCTTTTGTGTAATTGCCATATAAATTTCAAGTTTGTTAGGACAGTTTTTTTTTTTTTTTTTTCCTCATTGTTTAGTGCCTTCTTGATGTTTCCTTTGGTAGATTTCCATCTAACTTTTATAACCGCAGGAAATCTTTGGTTAGAAGGCGCAATGATTGATACTAATCCCATTTTGGGCTCAAGAACAAAAAATAAAATAAAATCCTATTTTGAGTTATTAAGTTCCTGAACTTATGCATTCTATCATTTTTTACTTTGAACTTTTAATTTTTTAACAAAATACTTCCTGAACTTCTGATTTTTAGCCACTTAAATCCTGCACACTAAAACTGACGATGAACTTTTGAAATTTTACGTAAGATCATCACCTCCTAAAAGCATAATAAGTGGAATTTTTATAGAACTAGTGTAGTTAAATATTAAATATTCTCTTATACAATTTTACAATAAAAACTAGATCATTGTGCATTTAGTGTTACTGGTTCTATAAAAATTTTAGTTACTATGCATCTGAGATTGATTATCTTAGAAAATTCAGAAGTTATTTGCCAATTTTATTATGGAGGGACCAATGTGTTCCAAAATTAAAGTTCATGAAGTGATTTGCCAAAATAAAAAAGATCCTAATGGAGTTAATTACTTATAAATTTTGTAGAGTGATTCTATTTAAGCGCCCTTTTAACTCTCCACGTAACTCTTTAATTCAAATTTCTTATTACAAAAAGATCCTCAATTAAAATAACAAGAAAGATAATTATGATAGACGCATTAAAATCAAATTTAATTGTAGAAATAAAACCTGTGAGAATAAATTCTTGTTACTTTGAAATCTATAACAAAACCATAATTTTTACTTTTTAATGACTATTTCAAATAGTTGAAGGATGTGTGTTAAATTCTTTTACTAGTATGATGATTGTTCTTTTTTTTTTTTCTGCTTCGTGTTGTTGTTCTTTTATAATCATTTAAAAAACGTTTGGTTTATATATTTAAAATCATGATTTAAAATCATTCTTATTTTATGTGTATTTTTTGTGAGAGAAAACTCTATAAAAAACTATGAATCATGATTTAAAATAAAAAATAAATATAGGAAACAAACATCCCCTTAGTAAATAAAATAGAAAGTATTTGTTCTTTTTTTTTAAATATAATTATAGACATACTTTTCTAATTTATAAATTTTCTTTTTATTCTAAATATAAAAAGGCTTCATGCCTGAAACTTAAAAAAAAAATAAATAAAGAGGGATAAGTAAATATGAATATTAAATAATGAAAAATGAAATTGTGAAGTGCTCAAAAGTTCATGGAAGTGAGATTTGTAAATTTACAATCAGATTAAGGATGTTTGGTAGAGGGATTCGTTTCTTGATTCGAATCATGATTCATGGTTCGTTACAGTATTTTCTCTCATAAAAAATTCACATAAATTAAAAATAATTTAAATCACATAATTTGAATCCTCACCAACCAAACATCCGTATACATGTAATTTATGAATTTAAAATTATAATTTAAAATTATTTTTAATTTATGTGTATTTTTTATAAAAATAATTTGATAATAAATTATGAATTATGATAACTATGACACGAATTTTTAATCTAAACCCAGCATAAAGCACTGGCCGTAGTCAAGCATATTATTCAGTATTTTCAGTCCGTGCAGTCCTGGGTTTCACGACGGAGGCTGACGGTGGCTGGCACGGGCTGGGCCGGTCGTGGTATATTGACAAGCGGTGGGTTGGGCGTTTGATGCTGGCGACGGAGGCCGGCGAGGTGGGTTTCGCACGACGGAGGTCGGCCACGTCTGGGTTTCATGTGACGGAAGCCGGCGAGGTCTGGATTTCGCGCGACGGAGGCTGACGATGTCTGGGATTTACGCGACGGAGATCGGCGAGGTTCATCTACTTAGATCGTATTCTTTCCCTTTTGATGCATTTCCGAGCCTCTTTTTTTTGGGTTTTGTTTCGTTTATTTCCTTTTTTTCTCCCGATCGATTTCTAAGGGGATTTTTATTTTGGGTTTAGTTTAGTTAATTACATGATCGAATTTTGTTGGGTTTGTAGACAATGGTTTTTGACGACTGAATTCATTCATTATTGTCTTAGGGAACTTTGGTAAGGGAATTTATATCCTAATTCGAATACGATTAATAATTCGTTATAGTATTTTTTCTCATAAAAAATATACGTAAATCTCATAATTTTAATTTATGAACCAAACACATTCTTAATTTTTCAATTTCTTTTTTCCGCATTTCTCTTTAAGTTTTGAAATTTTTTTTTTTTTTCTTTTACCAGAAGTCTTTGAATCCTTCCCCAATCCAGATTCCTTCATGTGGGGTGTTCTAATCAAGTCCAACAACTCTTATTGCACAGGGAGATGAGAGATTTGTAACTTTTTTTAATACTATAATTGTACATTAACGTATCATTTATTTCATAAATTTTAATTTTATCACAATTAAAAATTTTTATAAAAACTTAAATTTAATTTTTTTTATTATAATAAAATCCGAGCAATATTTGGGTGTTTGTATTCCGGCTTTCTTCAGTGCAGAGGAGGTCCGAGACAGAGGTGATTCTGGGCTGTTTTATCCTGGGGACGACGAGGCTGGTATACTGCTTGTACTACCTTGGGCAGAGCCGCGAAACGTCTTAAAAAAAGCGACTTAGTCCGCGACTCAACCCAAGATTTTGTTTGGTAAATTCGTTCCTTTTGTGTTCTGCACTAACAGAGCCCGAGTTCAAAACATCACTCACATCAATGGCTGCCGTTCTCTCCCTCCACACCCTCTTTCTCCTCCCATCAAACCGTTCCTCCCAAGCTATTTCCACAAAGCCCCGGGCTGTCCTCAGCCAAGCCAACAAAATGCGAGTCCCCTATGTGCTGAGGCAGGGGCAGTCCCGTCTTTTCCACAAGCTCCCTTCTGGGCTGAACATGGAGGTCATTGTGCAAAAGGAAGACCCATATGAGAAAAAGAAGAGAAACACTGAAAACCCACCTCTGGTTTTCTTCCATGGAAGCTACCACGCTGCTTGGTGCTGGGCTGAGCACTGGTTGCCGTTCTTTTCAAACTCTGGCTACGATTGCTATGCCGTTAGCTTGTTGGGGCAGGTCTTCTCTCTTTCTCTTTCTCTCTCTAATCTATGTGATTCTGAAATTGTTTACTCTTCATACTCAAAATTGGTTGTTGATTGCTTTTATTTTTAAGGTAGCTTTTATTTCCAATCAGGGTAGTCAAGTTCATTTATTCCCGTATCACGTATTTTCAATGTTGATGCCTCGTCAATTATTATTTGTTATTATTATTATTTTCTTAGGGAGCTTTGGTTTTTACTCTTATTGAATTGATCCTCATTCCATGCGTTGTTTGATCCTAAAGGCGTATAAGGATATAGGCTAAAATTCAGACCAAAAAAAAAGGACATTTATTTGGAGTTCAGATATTTCGTTCGTTTGTTTTTTGGGCTGAATTTGAATAGGAAAAGGGCAGAAATGTGGTCTCATTTATAACCATAACTCCTTCCCTAGGAAAAGGAGACAAATGTGCTCGCACTTATTAAAGCCAGTATACAGTTAGAAGCAATGTTTACCTGTATCGCCATAACACGAGTGTAGTTGTCTGAAAACATTTAGATCACTCTAGTGGGGGAAAACCAACGAAAAGAGTGCGAGCACTTTGACGCTCAAGTCAGCAAAGTGATTGATAATGTGCTAGAAGATGATTAAAAAGTGTGTATGACACAATCAAAGCAAGTATTCATAGAAGAAAGAAGACAAAAGATTATAATGGTCCTATGATTATCTGTCGGTGTAATCATAGGCCTTTACCTCGTGGTAGTCATTATCTTGAATGATTTGAACTTGTGTAGATGAGGTTGACCCGAATTTGAGGGACATTTGATCTCTGGATAATTGGATTTTCTGCTAGTATAGATTATTGTGGGCGACGATGAAGCCTACCTTGAATTTTTTGTGTTTATACTATGTTGATAAGAGAAGGTAGTCTACTTACATTCAAGTTGATTAAGAACATGTAGAATGGAATTTGGTCCTCATAAGGTTGCATAGTTGCCTCCCAGGAGATCATATAACGATCTAGTAGTCGTCCATATTGTGGTAGACTAGCCTTTGCACCATGGTCCACTCTTCACTCTATGGGTCGACTCATGAGCCTAGTTGACATGTGGATGGCCTTTGTGAAGAGACGAAGTCTTGCCCCAACAGTAACTGTTTTAAAAAGGCAGTGGTTTCCTTTTCCCTTCCTTGGCACAAACTGGTCCCATTTAACACACATGTCTAGACTCTAGAGATATATATTTGTGAACAAAATTGGTAGTTGATAGAAATCTTATTCGCTCCTAAAAAGATTAGAAAATTGCTGAACGATACTAAGAATGATGATCATCAGATGGTTGTGTCAATCTTCCATATGGTACTATAGGGTCTACAAATATTGCACGGCCAACTCACGCGGTGATCATTGCGACTGATGATTAATCTAAATCACTGCTCACTCATTTTGATAATCTTGATTTATGAATGTTGATAATGCATAGCAGAAAGCAGCATATTCATTCGGAAGCTAAGTTCCTGTAATTCTATAAGTTACTTTTGTTAGTCTTTCTGATTTTCTACTTCCTCTAATTGGTTAGGGTGAAAGTGATGCGCCTGCTGGTTCTGTTGCTGGTACTCTCCAGGTATCTTAGCTATCATCAGCAAAAGCTCCTTATACAGGCTAATTTGATAATTTGGATTCTCTTGCTTCTATTTTCTACACATCCACCAACACTTGCTGTATTTGCCATAATGCTGCTCTTATTTCACGTTTCACTCCAATTTCTGCAGTAGACACACGCAGGTGATATTGCTAACTTCATCAACAGAAATCTCAAGTCACCACCAGTATTGCTTGGACATTCATTTGGAGGGCTTATTATTCAGTCCTACATTGCAAATCTTAAGAATGACCAACTCTTAGGTAACCTTCTACTTTTACTGGTTTATATTCAAGTAAAGAACTCAAGAAGGATAATGCCGTGTGAATGATATTATTTATTTATTTATTGTAATAGTTGCGTTATAAATTGGAACTGATTTCAGTGTGCAGGGTGATATATCTTTTAAGACAGGCCTGAGATTAGAATTTTTTATTTTCAAATAAAACAAAATGGCTGTTATACCAGCACAAGTTTGAGTGTTAAGTGTTGAACCTCAAGACACTACAGTTGTGCTTTCTATTTTCTATCAATCTTAGGGTTTGTTTGCTTCACAGGTTCATCAAGTTTTGAACCCATAAACAAGTGAATCGGTGTTTGGTTAATTTTTCTGAACCTGAGTTGTGGGTTTAGAACCCATTTTGTAGAAGTTTTCATGTTTTTAAACTTATTTGCTACATCATTTCTGGCTTAAAACCATGGCTGATGGCTCTATTTCTGGTTTACTCATAATTCTCAGTTCTCACACTAATCAAACACCAGTTCAAACTTTATTTTGATGTGATGTTTTATTCCCTGTTTAAACTTTACACTTCCAAACACCAATTTGAACTAGAGTAAAACGCACACTGGTTCAAAACTTTTGGTTCAAATTCAAAAGGTTTTAAACCACACAATTCGAACTGGCAAAGCGAACGGGCCCTTAATTTCATAATGGCTTCATCCAATCATGTAATCTATTTCATATAAATGATGTCGACAGATAGAATTTTCAGCTTTTCTTGTGTATGAAGAGAAATTTTGTCATCTAGACTATATATATATATTATTTTTTTGATTCACCTTAATTCCAGGAACGAGAAATTTATATCCTGAGCTAACTGGCGCTGCACTTGTATGCTCTGTGCCCCCTTCGGGTAATAGGTAAATCACTTTTAGTCCCTTTTTTTTTCATTTTTCATTTTGAAGTCAATCAACTCAAAAATGACAACGCTTTCATATTCTCAGTGGCTTAGTATGGCGCTATCTTTTTACCAAACCTATTGCTGCTTATAAGGTATTCTACTTACCTGGAGGGTAATAGTTTTAACACTTGAAAATATTTATGCAAAAGATTTAGTTATTTGCTTGTCATCCCTTGTTTATATATTCACCTTTTCCAATATTTGAGTTTCCTGCATATTTTATCTTGGTCTTAGAATTTTCAAACAAGGTCTCTTCTCATGTCATAACATTCTTTTAGAAAGCTTCCAAATTCTTTAGACGTGCTTGAGTGTTCTTGAATGGAAAATGTGATAGGATTTCCATTAGTTTTTAGGATTTCCTTTGGTTTTACAATAAATAGGACTTTTTTCTTATGACTAATAGGCCCAGTTCTTTTGAACTTTTGAAATAGGTGACACGCAGCTTAGCAGCTAAAGCTTTTCAGACTTCTCTTCCTCTCTGCAAGGAAACATTTTTCTCAGCAACTATGGAGGATCAACTAGTTCTGCGGTTTGTCCCATTCAAATTCTTACAGAATAATTATTGCAGTATCTAATTCTATGTTTATGCATTTAGTTTGTGAAAATGACAAGTGACTTGAATTTGCTCTGTAACAACTGTCCATTGCCACTGCAATTGTCCTGATCCTTCTCAACTACCATTTTTTCATTAAGTTTCCAAGAGAACTTGTTACAATGTGCTCTTTTCTGTTGAGTTCTCAATCTAGTCGAGATAATTTGTCAAATCAGAAAAAGCATAATTCATTTGGTGATACAGTTTCGTTAAAATTTTCTGTTCAATGTAGTTTTCGAAATTGCTCAGTAGTAATTCTATAGAAACCCAATTATGATGCAAGCCCTAAGCTTGTATTCAAGAGACAACCCAAACGTTAAAAATCCGGTTTGATGGAGAACATTCATGAGTATTATTTTAAGTAGGGCTGATTTTATCATGGAACTTATTTGCATTTCCTTGACGAGAAAAGGAACATCATTTTGTGCCCCTATTTCTTTTTCATTTTGTTTCGTACTATTCCTTTTAACATCTTTTTGTTTACTTTTAGTTATCAGGAGCTAATGAAAGAAAGCTCAAGAATGCCATTGTTTGATCTGAGAAAGTTGAATGCATCACTACCAGTTCCTTCAGTTCCAAAATCTTCAATTGAAATTCTTGTGTTGGGTGCAAAGGATGATTTCATAGTGGTAAGCTCCGACTTTAACGCGTCTTATTCTAATCGGTTGATTGTTTCCTCAAATGATGTCACAAAGCCCACTAAATGTTGAAATAAAATGCATGTATTTTCTGGTTCACTGACTCAGCTATATAGGCGCCAAGTTCTCAAGAATTTTACTTATTAAATGAGTGGCAACTTCAGTCACATAATATCAACTGTTTCTCCATTTTTTTCCCTATGTCATGGTTTCAATATAATTAGTATCTGCATGAACCGGGTTTCTAACTTCTTGGTTTTTTTTTTTTTTTAATTTATTTAAGGACATGGAAGGTCTCAAAGAAACGGGCAAGTTTTATGGCGTTTCACCGGTATGTATTGAAGGAGTTGCCCATGACATGATGTTGGACTGTTCATGGGAAAAAGGTGCAAAAGTTATTCTATCATGGCTAAATGGTTTGAAGCAAAATGTTCCACTTTAGAACTGTGATTTTGCTCATTAAATGTGAAATCTGTGATTTGGTTCGGAAGTGGCTCATCTTTAGGGTTCATTTCTGATACTTGCGTGTTCTTTCAAGTGTAGCAAGTTGATGTATTCCACCTCGCAGTCGTTCGGCGATTTGAAACCAATGATTCTGAGTCAAAGATTCAAATGTCCCCAAATTGCAAATTTAGAACCTTTTAAAAGGGTTGATGACCAGAATCAAAATGCCAGAATCAATGCCGTATTTTTCAAAAGAGTTATGTGTTACTAACTATGAGCACGCCCGTTCATTTTATCGAAATTGAGTTTAGAATTCGAATTTTATTACAGTAAAAAGTTTTCAAAAACAGTCACATTTAACTTTTTTATTGTAGTAAAAAGTTCTCATATAAAGTTATATCTCAACTCGAATTAGCAAATTAAACGAGTTCACAAAGAATTAAAAACTCGAATTGACCCAACGGGTTTGATATATTACTCTCTTGATTTTCCTCCTTTTTTTTTTTTTTTGGCAAATAGTTCCATTACATGCAAAAGGTTCACTTTATTACTCTTAAAGCTTGAGAATTATAACATTTAAGACCTACAGTACCCACTTATATAAGGTTTGCGATAAACATATGATTATTTATGTTTAATCCACACCAATTTTAATGTCAAGGCTAAAAACTGCCAAAAACACAAGTTCAAATTAAAGGAGTAAAATGACTAAAAAGTTCAAACAACTTACCGTGTCAATAAGCATTTTGAAAATGTTGAGATTATATTCACCCTCCTGTTTTTCTAACCACATAAAATGCACTCGTAATGTAAGACTCGATCAGAATTAAATATGCAAAAAGACGTTTTTCTCATAATACTTGTGATTAAAAGTAAGATTTCCAAAAATCAAAATTAATTATTGTCAAATAAAGGTGAAAGTTTGGACCGAATAGAAATTTTAGACAGAGTTAGACCGACTTTAAATGGGAGAGTCTAAAAGAATTAGGGCCAATTCAAAATTTTATAAGATATTCTTTTTTTAAAAAATCTTTAAAACGAGAACGTTATGGCCAGCCTTAATAAACTTTCAGGTTCAAAACCTCATCTAGATTAATAGTGGCGGGTTTTGATGTGACTTGACTTTCATTTATTTTACTGATTTGAGTTTTGTTATAGTAAAAAGTTTTTAAAAATAATCGCATTTAATTTTTTTACCACAGTAAAAAACTCATATAAAATTACATCTCAACTCAAATCAGCAAATTAAATAGACCATTATTTAGTCCGGCTTAAATTTACATTCCCATCATCAAATGTAGGAGACAATTTTAGTTGCACATGTGCCACTAAAATTAAGATAGATTAGGCCCCGTTTTTTTTTCACTAATTCGAGTTTAAAATTTAAATTTTGTTATAATAAAAAGTTTTTAAAAATAATCACATTTAACTTTTTTATACAGTAAAAAATTTTCACACAACATCACGTCTCAACTCGAATTAACGAACCGAAAATATTCATGTTTCGATCACAGCCGTATAACTTTATAAACCCTATTTCCCACCGTCATCACTCTCCTCTGTCCTCCGAAGCGTAAGTTGAAAATTCTCTCGTGGAGCAGACGGCGGACCTCCAATCTCCTCCCTGAGCCATTCGGTAAGCACGCAAGCAACCGTGCCCAACTGGGTCTCTTCATCTTTCATGTTCTTCAACTGGGTCGACCTTTCTTGCTCGTGAATTTGAGATTCTCGTTGTGTTGGAAATTTTTTTTTTTACTTATTTGTAATATCGGTCTGTTGGTGCTTCCTAGAATTTTATTGTAAACTTTTTTTTCGTATTTGGTATTCAAATTGAGTGTTTATTAATTAAGTTCTGTTCAATCTGTGTTTGTTTAAAAATTTAGAATATTATGGAAAGCTTTATTTTCTTGCATAGCTAATGGGATATGAATTTGGTGATTCATAGAGCAATTTTTATTATAGATAATAGCATATCTGGTGTTTAAATAATCTTAGGTTGAAAATTCGTTCCATCTCATTATATACGCCCTTGCATTGTCGTACGCAGATTTGTTAAGATGTACACATCGAAGAAGAAGATCCACAAAGACAAGGATGTCGAACCGACTGAGTTCGAGGAGACGGTTGCACAGGTTATTTAAGGAACAGCTATATGGTGATATATATATATATATATGTGTGTGTGTGTGTGTGTGTGTGTGTATATATATATATATATATATATATAGTTTTTTGGACCGTTGAACATGTTGAAAATATCCCATTTTTTATATCTTGCAGCACCTGTTTGATTTGGAGAATACCAACCAAGAACTGAAAAGTGATTTGAAGGATCTATTCATCAATTCTGCAGTGTATGTTTGATATTATGTGCGTTTTTCTGAATCTTGTTTCCATTTTCCTTAATCTGTTTTGGGATGTTTACTAATTATTTTGGAGATAACTTATGTTATACAGCCAAATAGACATTTCTGGAAATCGCAAAGCTGTTGTGATCAATGTCCCTTACAGATTGAGGAAAGCTTTCCGCAAGATTCATCCGCGGCTTGTTAGGGAGTTGGAGAAAAAATTCAGCGGGAAGGTAACATATTGTGTCCCAACCCAAAAGGAAAAGGTCATCTTTTAAGAGTGGTTTCAATTTGGTTATATAAACAAATGCTTTTTTGTTATTTGCCAGGATGTTGTAATCATCGCAACTCGAAGGATTTTGAGGCCACCAAAGAAAGGCTCTGCCATCCAGCGACCTCGTACCCGTACACTAACAGCTGTACATGACGCCATTCTTGAGGATGTTGTTCATCCTGCTGAGATTGTGGGGAAGCGGATGAGATACCGACTTGATGGCTCCAAGATAATAAAGGTAAAACACGAAACCATGTTATTATTATGTGATCGTTAACATCGTGGGAAATTACTGTTGTTAAACATGGTGGACAACATCGTGTGACAGATTTTCTTGGACCCAAAGGAACGCAACAACACCGAGTACAAGTTGGAGACATTAGCCGGAGTTTACAGGAAGCTTACCGGGAAGGACATCGTGTTTGAGTATCCAATTACAGAGGCTTAAGTAGCTGTTATTATCATTGGAAATATGTGTTTGGATATTGTTTCTTCGTTTTAGAGTTTTCAATTGTTTTAGGCACTATTTAAAAATTTTGACTTGCGAGATTTCATATTGTGCTTCAGACAATTAAGAGGAAGCCAGGAAGGGCTTCTTGTTTTTCCCTTCTTCATGTGCTTCTTACAGGTCTGTTTACCTTTGGTTTCTTACAAAGAATATTTTCATTCTGCTGATGTCTGGTTGGTGTCAAAAGGGGTTGAGTTGAGAACTCAATGATCTTTTGTCACTTTAGCAATACTAGATCCAATGCACTTTCGTTTACTCGCAAGTACAACTATTGGAGTTGTTTATTCAAGGTTGATGACTTCATTTTGATCTATATGCTGGGGTTAGAATACCAGGGATTATCAGAAGGTAAATGTGCAATGCTAAGACTATTTTTGTTTTTTTACTTTTTATTTTTTTAATTTATGATTGATACCAACTAAGGGTCCGTTTGATTCATAAGTTAAAACCATGGTTTATGATTTTGACTTTTGAAATTCAAATTTTTTGTGAGAGGTCAACATTGTAACAGAACCAAAAATCATGGTTTGAACTATGAAGAACCCTCAAAACAAACAGACCCTAAAATAGGTATTTGGATACTATTAAATTGCCCGTCTCATCTTCTCTAAAAATATGAAGGGCCCGTTTGGGTCGCTAATTCGAGTTTTTAATTCGAGTTGAGATGTAATGTTGTGTGAGAGCTTTTTACTGTAGTAAAAAAGTTAGATGTGACTGTTTTTTAGAGTTTTTTACTGTAGTAAAACTCGAATCAGCGAAAAGAACGGGGCCGAACTTTCTTCTTAGTATTCATCATTCAAACTTCAGAGGTTTCTTTTTATGGCTTCTACTTGCTTTAAATTTTTTTTTTGAATTAAATTTGTTTTTGCATTAGTTATAGCCCCGATTGGTTTACTGATTCGAATCGTGTTAATTTCAACTTTTTCATATTTGAAGTAGAAAATCTGAACGACCAATAAAATTTAAAATTTTTGTTTAGATAAGTGTAAGAGCATAATAGCATGATTTTTAGTGTTCAAAAATGATTTGTAAAGTTGAAATGGAGAGGTGTTAAAAGGTAAATATCGAAATGGAGAGGTGTTAAATCTCTTATAACAATGTGACTCCATCTTTAAACATAAAAAATTCCTTCTTTTAAGATTTCTAACGAAAATTGACCAAAAAAAGAATAGTTTGTAGTACATGATAGGAGTATTTTGGTAACTCTATTGTGTGGCTAATTTGAATTTAAAAGTTGATATAATTTTAAAATTCCAATTGTTAAGGACAATAAACTAAAAGATCTTAAAAAAACCATAATCTCTCACTTTTGTGTGATTGCATAGGGAGAATAGTTATTGTATATTGGACCGTTTGGCGGCTTTTTGATTGCCGATTAGGTTCCATGTCAAAACCGTTTACCGACAATTTAAAACTAATTTAATCCGTTTTAAAAACGGTTCTGTCCGGTTTGGACAATTTTATAGACAATCGAAACTGAGCGGGACTGTTTTATATATGCATATTAAATATATGAAATATCAACTTTGTTTATGATTATTATTATTTATTTACTTTTAGGCTCTTTGTATTCTTATAGAATGCTAATTCTAATAGATTATACAGTATATGACTTTGTTCAATTGTTGTATTAATCTTTTATTTAGAGTCTAAGAAATATTAAATATAGTAACAAAAGAAAAAAAATTCTTCCAAAAAACAATGCAAACTGCGGTTAAACCACTGAAATAGTCTAGTCTGGTCCTATTGTCAAAAACAATCTTATTCGGTTTGGAAGTTTTCCAAACAATTAAAAACAGTTCACTTTGAAAAACTTGACACTTCAGGACTGGAGTGTGCATAACCCTATTTCTTACCGATCCATCCGCAGTGGCAAATAATCCCCATCCCTATTCTATTAACCTGTTTAAATTAGCAGATATGGGGTGAGTTTTCCTTTTATGTAATAAGTAAGACAATTTTTAAAAATACTCTTTAAAATGAAACTCTTTTTTTATTTCTACCCTTTAACATTAACCCGTATATTTTTAACTTTTAGACTAGAATTAGTCAAGGGTGTTGCTCAAAAAAAAAAAAAAAAAAAACTAACTAGTCAAAAGATAGAGTTTTTTAAAAAAGGTATTAAAAGTACTTAAAAGATATTAAAAGATAGACTTAGTAATTTTCTTAATAAGAGTAAATTTTGACACTTTTGAAATTAAATATTCTACTCGTTTAAAAGAGAGGAGCGCCAGTAGAACTGGGCAAAAACATGAAAGATGAAGTTGAGATCTACTGTTTTAAAGGAGGATAGGTACCATGTCTTCACAAGTATACAACTCTTTACTTATATCTCCTTATTCATGCATATACAAGGAATGGACATATAAATATACATTTATTTATAAACACCTAATAAATAGACAAATGAAGACATGGAATTAATTTATTACTTGCAAAAGCCCAAAAAAAAAATAATAAAAAAAGGGCTGCTGTTGTGTGTGGTTCAGGAGGCCTGGAAGAACTTGCTGTTTACTCCGGTCCTATATAGCTGCAAATCAGATGCACTCGTAATGCTAAACTCAGTGTCGGCTGGTATAAAAAGAACATCTCCTTCTGCAATTACATCTTCAAGAAAACTCGTATGCATGATTCCCTCACCACGGGTGACCATTGAAATGGACGGACCTGGGACTGCAGGAAACGCGACTGATTCCAGGCGAGGAAGATTACAGCTATCAACCTCGAATTCATCAAATGGCGGGAGGTACCTTCTAACATATGGATTTAAAGGAACTCCTTGCAGAATTTCAGGGTACCCCTGCAGTAAATCAGATGTCCGATCGTGATCTTCGATATACCCTTTTGCAGATTAATTAATTAATAAGATTACAGCATGATGCAAAAGGTAGAGAGTCCATCAAGGAAAGCTCTACTTTCACAGATTAATAAATCACAATTGTTGACTGCAGGAGCAAGTAGAGCACAACAGAAAGCTACAATACAGCACTGCGGCAATATCTTTTTTATTTTTTATTTTTTATTTTTTATCACTTAATGCAAGGATGCACATAAAGTTTCGGAAAATTTCTCCTTGGCATTCAGAGGAAAATATAAAGAAACAGGAAAACTTTCTAATTTGCATACGAGGAAAAAAAAAAGTGAGCAAATTGGAAGAAACAGACAAATATAAGGATATGTCCAAATATCTCAGATTTGTATTTCTCTACTTCCTAAGCTCCTTATGCGCTGGTTCTTAGTCATTACAAAAGCATGTTCCCCTATGATCTTACGCATGACCGAGACAAGTTGCCGCACAAGACAATAGAAGAGAGAACCAAAACTAAAATATCCTCTACCTTAAATCGTTTCTAAAGTGACCAAAATATATTTTGCACGGAATAGTTAAAAGACTACAATAAAAGAGGCTTAATGAGCTTACCTGCTTATATGTGAGCATGGAGCAAAGAGTGTTTACATCCCGGTGCTTGGGAGTTAGACCGGCCCTCACAACATTGTCCGAAGTTGCCATACATTCTATGCACTCACCAAACAAATATGCATGGGGTTCATTTGGCCCAAGATATAATGCTTCACCAGGATTAAGCTTCACGTAATTAAAAAAGAAAGCTGATATAACACCAACATCAGCAGGATATTGCTTTTCCAACTCCAAAACCAAACGTTCCTTATCTGTTAACTGCCTAACCTGATGGGAGAATCAAAAAGAGCATTTTGTGTAAGAACTACAATCACAAGACAAATGAAATCAACGCATCTGACATGCAGTGTTCAGCTTATCTAAACCGCATCTGCCCCATTATAAAGATTTTAAACATCCTAAGACTACCAAAGGTCATAATCACACATTATAACCAAAGAGAATTTTGAGAAATAAAAAAATATCGAATTTCAATAGAGAAGTTCTCATAATATATATATAAATATATTGTCAAACCAAGGGGAGACGGGAAATTGAAAGAAAGAAAGAAAGTTCCAACATCTAAAACTGTCCCAAATTGTTGAAGCCAGCTATTACTTGGTAATGGAAGTTTGACGAAAAAGAAATTCAAATCATTAACAGACCTGACTTTCAAAGTGTAGACGGTCTTTCAGTTTGGAAGTTGCTTCAATTATCATCTCTTTGCTCGCTGACATGAGTTTGGTGAAAATTGAACGCAGAACAATTTTTACTTTTTCTTCCGCATCTTGATCACTGAGATTCAAGAGTTGGTTTGCATCTGTACTTCCAACCAGCTCTACGATCTCAGGAACGTCATGAAGCACAGACTTGAGCTCCTGGAGAATATCCCAAGTCAATCATCTTAAATAAGAAAAGTCAAGACATTAACAAAGAATGCGCATACATGAAGAGAGCTCTGTATCTCAAATATCATCTCCAACTAATCAATCATCTTATATATGATACGCGTTCACAAAGATTACTCTATGGAAACAGCAAGTTTACCGTAAATCTGAAAAATCTTTCATAAATTTCATCAAAGCAATTAACATAACGACATAAGATAACAAACTTACCAGATAAACCCAAAAGTCAGGCATAAAAACAATATCGAGCCAAATTTAGAAACCCATTCCCAGGCACAAATTAAGAATACAATCAACATATATGCCAAATAAGTCACAAAAAGGATTCTAAGACGACTAGATCTTGTATCAATTACTAGAGAGCAACAATAAGCTTATGAGTAGTAGAAGAAGTCATATATTTCTGGAAGAATTGATGGAGAAATGGAAACAAACTTGCCAAATTCTATCCAATTCAATCAAAGAATAAGGAAACTAAAAATTCGAACCTGGAGACTGATGAATCCACAAAGAGCCTCGAAGTCGGTTATGGCGAGAGCCATCTCAGGCTTGTGATTGTCGTCCTTATAGACACTTGGCTGCAACTTATGCAAAGTCTTGGCCAATTCCTTATCCGGATGAGCTTGTATTGACAATGCCTTGGCCACCGAAAGCACCTACAACGAACCACACAGATTTCCATTAAAATTTACCATTGAAGAACTCGACTAATTGGAAAAGCCAGGAATCCAATGGAAATTCAAACAGCATGTAGAACAATACCTTGAACAAGAACGGAAGATCACTGCCCCACCTTTGGACGACCTTTTCGCCGAGCACACTAGGATTCTTGGAAATCCAAGACTTGAGGCTCTCGCCATGGCTGCCGAACTCCACCGACAGATTTCCATTACTCTTGTGTTCGCTCGGAACCAGGAAGGAGGGTCCTGAGTCGTGAGTTCCCATCCAGATCTCAGCATAAGGCTTTTCGGGGTCGATTTCCGAGCCGGAATTCAGAGCGTAAAGCTCGGCGACGGTAGAGTCAACGCCTTTCCGACCCCAATCGTAGTTCTGGACCGAGCATCTCAGCCTCTGAACCTTAGAAGCAATGGCGGTTTCGGACTCCATGACTTCCATGAACACGTTTACGTTGAAAAAGAAACAGAAGAAGAATATGAATATGAATTTATAATCAAAATGAAAAGGAAGGAAATGGACTTGTAAGAGCAAGTTGTGGGAATTTTTATCAAGTTGGGGGGGTCCGTATAAATGCTGGTCAATCCATTTTGGTGAATAATTCTTTGGGTTTGGTTTGCTGGTTTTTCAAGCGTTTGAAAAGGCAAGAAGAGAGAGGGAAATGGAGAGTGAAGGACAAGGAAAAAGAAGAAAAGAAGAAGACCATGACCGTGGAAATTTGGATGTGGGGAAAAAGACTAGTACGCGTCTCCATCTCCCTCTTCTGCTTTCTTCTTTCGGGTATGGTTTTTGGTATATGCGAAAATTGAGGGATTTTACCGGGAAACTTCGCTTCCTTTCCGTAAATACTCTTTCGGCTAATAACAAGATTTTCGATTTAAATTTTCAATTTTAAATTTTTACAGTTAAAAATTATTAAAAAATATTAATTTTAATTTTTTTTATTATAGTTAAAAATTTTCAAAAAATATCACATTTTAACTCAAATTAAAAACTCAAATCTACAAAATGAACGAGACCTAAATGACTTAAGTTACGCTTGGTATGATTTAGTTTAAATTTTTGTTTATTTACAAAAAATAAAAAATGATTTTTAAAAATTAATATTTGATTTAAATAGTTTTAGGCCTCGTTTATTATTTTACCGATTTAAGTTTTCAGTTTTAAGTTTTTACAGTTAAAAGCTCTTAAAAAATGACACATTTAATTTTTTTTCTTACAGTTAAAAACTCTCAAAAAATGTCACATCTCAATTCGAATTGAAAACTCGAATCCGCGAAGCGAAGCGAACGAGACCTTAGTTTAAAGTTTAAATCTTAATGTGATGATTTAAATCTGAACCACTCTAAAAAATAAAAACACATCTCCTTTAATTTTGAATAATTCAAACAGCTATTCTGATTCTGATTTTAAAACTATGATTTTGACTATAAATTCAAACAATAATCGTGATTCTAATTTTAAAACTAAAATTACTCTAATTTAAATTCTCACGACCTTAATTCTAACTGAACAGGGCAACGAAAGAAAAACTCACCCCAAAAAAGAGAAGAGAAACAATCCACCAAGATCTAGAGGAGCTAACTGAACGAAGCAAAAAACCAAGCACTAGGATGGAAGAAAGAAGGATCCATCAGAAAAAAAGTTAGCAAATGACCACACCCCGAAAGTGGCATTCCTTGTCGTGATCTCAAAACTGATTTCAGTTTTTCAGGCATTTTATATGGATTTTTCCCTTTTTTGTTAGCTTTGTTTTCATTTTGGTTTTCCAAAGGAAACGGTTATTTTCCGAGGCGGAAGTTCTCTTCTTTTTCTTTTTTTCTTTTCTTTTCTATTTCTCTTTTAGATTCATACTTTTCTAAAGAGAGAGAAAACTTTCATTCCAAAAAGAAAAGAAATAAAGAAGTAAATTCTTTAACAAAGTAACTACATATATATAAAGTAATGAAAGATCACGTTGTGCATTCAACGTGTTATATCTTTTTAATACAGAGATTCAAGTTTTATATTTTTTTAATTTATTATTTGTTAAGGGTTTAGTTTTGTAAAAATTAAAAATTAAAACCGAAATAGGAAAAAATAAAAAACAATAAATCGTTGAAAATGTTTTAAGAATAAGAAAAGTAAAAAATGATGCAATGTGTCAAAAAGAAAGAGAAATCTTTTTACAGTGACACATATATTAAAAGAGATGAAAAGTCCTTTGACTCTTTTATGTATATAAAGATTATTTGAGAATATTGTAAGCGCTTATTCATTTTATCGATTTGAGTTTTTAGTTTTAAATTTTTACAGTTAAAATTTTTTAAAAAATGTCATATTTAACTTTTTTTACTACAATTAAAAATTTTTAAAAAATATCACATTTCAACTTAAATTAAAAACTAACAAACTGAGGTCTAAATGTATTTTAATTACTCTAGTTTCTCCTTTCTCTTTTATATACAAGAGGGAAACCTGTTGTAATTTGCAAAAAAAAAAAAAAAAAAAAAAGTGGGAAATTCTGATAATAAAGGAATTTCCTACGTAAAGAGGAGATAATTACACAAATATATATTGCAGTTTAAGTTTTTTTATTTATTTAAAAAAAATCATCTTTGTTTCACTAATTAAATCCAATTACGGGGACTTAATAATGTTTTAATTTTAATGTTGCAGTTTGAGTAAAATGAAATATTCCCAATCATTTTTATACTAATTGGTGGGGTATATTCCCCTGCCACAGAATTTTCTCCCGTTTAGTTTGTTGATTTAAATTTTTAATTTGAGTTAAGATGTAATTTTATATGAGAGTTTTTTATTGTAATAAAAAAATTAAATATGATTATTTTTTAAAATTTTTTACTGTAATAAAATTTAAATTTTGAACTCAAATCGATAAAATGAGCTGGACATTAAAAAAGTATATATGCAGTGAAAAGATCAAAAACTATTAGACGTCGGAGATAAAAGAAGGCTCCCCGGAATTGCACAAATAATTTCTATGGCGATCACAATTCCCGGAAAAGAAATCTCTGAAACGTTTATGCGATTTGCTTCACATTTGAAAAGATTCTCTAAGGTATGAGATTGAGATTACTTGTAGAAAAAGAACGCCTTCTTTAACATATTATTATTAGAATGAAAGCACTTTATGTAATATGATTGATTACATATAACCGAAACGTGATTAATTATGAATCTCTAACCAGAGTGTGCTTCACTTTCTTCTGCATGAAATTCAATATCGCCGATGGTGGTTTGTTTGTTTTATCTTTTTTCTTTTCCATAAAGAGATTGCACAGAAAATCTATTCATTTGAAATACACTTTGTAGATTCCAACAGAAACAAAGTCAATAATTCTGAAACAATCATCTTCAACGCAAAGTGGATTCCAATTTCTATAAACAGTAAACTAAGAATTGCAGAGCAAAAGGAAAAGCTTCAAAAAATATAAACGACATAAAAAGATACCTGTCAGGAGAGAAGACTGAGAGAGTGATTGCGCGGTGAACGGGAAAGCCTTTCGTCGCCTTTTTTTTTTTTTTTTTTTTGTTGTTTTTGAAAGATTTTTTTTTTTTTTTTTTGGTTGTTTCTGAAAGATCTTGGTCGTTTCTGCTTATACGTATGATTTGGGATCAATATTGCATTTTGGCTGGACTTGAAAAGAGTGTTTACTAATCAAGAATCGGAATAATAGGAAATTCATTTCAAAAAACCCTTTCTTTTCCGATATTGAATTCTTGATTAAAGAAAACACACATATTTATAAACAATTTTTTTTTCTTCTTTACTTTGACTTAAAAGGAACTGCTTAATTAGTTTAGGTAAATTTACTAATCAAGATTTACAATAATAGTAAGTAAATGTGAAGAAAAATTTAATTCCCGTTCCCGATAAGAAAACACGCATTTATTATAATATTATTTTAGTTTGATTTGGAAAGGCCACCTTAATTTCTTGAGGAACGTTTACAAATCAAGATTAAGAAAAATAAAAAATAAGTTTTAAGAAAAAAAAATTAGATATATAAAATCACGCAAATTTTAAAAAATATACAGATTTAAGAGTAAAAAATTAATCTACTATCAAAAAATCTCTTAATAAATAATACCTCATCTTTTCTTTTTATTAGATTTTCAACAAAAAAAACAAAAACAAAAACAAAAAGAAGAAGATGCCTTGTTCAATTAACGAATTCGAGTTAAGATGTAATTTTATATGAGAGTTTTTCATTGTAGCAAAAAAAGTTAGATTTAACTTTGGAAAATAGTAGAAAATATGCCAATATAAAAAGCTTAAAAAAGTATATAGGTTAATTTTTAGTTATAGAAATTAATAGGCCATAACTTGTCAAGTTATGGTTTATAACTAGATAAGTTTTGGATAAACTTATCAAGTTATGGTTCATAGCCAGACAAGTTATGGACAATAACTTGTCAAGTTATGATTCATAACCAGACTAGTTATGGACGAAAACAATAATTTGGCCTATTTATTAACTTATGTAAACTATTGGCCTATTAATTTTAATTCATCTCAAGTCTTGGCTTATTTCTCTCTTTCTCCCTTTAACTTTTTGTAAGAGTTTTTAACGCCTATTTATTTCACCGATTCGAGTTTTGTTATAATAAAAAACTCTTAAAAATAATCACATCTAATTTTTACTGTAATAAAAAATTATCATATAAAATTATATCTCAATTTAAATTAAAAATTTAAATTAATAAATTAAATGGATCTTTTTTATAGTAAAATTAAAGTTAAAAACTATGAAGAAAATCAACGGAAGGTCGATAAAATCAGGTCGGATATAATTACGTGGCTTGTTGTTGAAGATATCAGTATCAACCGTACATTAGTTGATTCACATAAGGTGGGTCCCACACACAATCGCCATCAGCCAGAGCCACCCTTTGAATTCCCAAGTATATCCTATTCCTTCCTACCTATCTGTCCAGCTCATGATTTTAATTAACAAACTATAATGAGTCACGAGACCTTACAAATGTATTATCATATGCATAGATTATATATAGTATTAGCCTTTACCTAAATAAAATTAGAGTATGACTTCTTTCTTATTATCTTTGCTTTACTTTTTTATTATATAAAATTCGATACGGATCGCCCCTGGAATTTAATTTAGTAAGGAAAAATGAAAATATTCAGAATGTGTATGCCTCCTGTAGCAATGGTGATTCTGATTCATTCCTAAATTTTTATATCATTTTTAAATCAAAAGTACTTTTGATTCAACTAAAACAATTTAAGGGTCCGTTAGGTTCGTTAATTCGAGTTTAGATGTGATATTGTGTGAGAGCTTTTTACTGTAGTAAAAAAGTTAAATGTGACTGTTTTTTAGAGCTTTTTATTGTAACAAAACTCGAATTCTAAACTCAAATGAGCGAAATGAACGAGGCCTAAATAAAGGAGGTGCTCACGGATTCCCTTTTCAAACAAGAAGGCCAGAGAATTTTAGAAATTAGGTAGCACATCAACAATTATTTGAATATTGTGTCGGCTAAGACATAATTCTTTTTTTTTTTCAAAAAAAAAGAAAAAAAAAGCGTAATTTAATTTCTCATATTGTATATACTAACTTTTTTTGTCACACTTTCAATATCTCATACCTTCTATTATTGTTTTACTCATACGATGATTCCTACTTATCAACTTTGATCTTTTTAACATAGACCAAACATCTTTATATGTAAATATGGTGCATCTTTAGAAGCTCTCATGCGATGATTCCTACTTATCGTTTTACTCATGCGATGATTCCTACTTATCCCTTTGATC